TTTTTATACAAATTCTTAATAATTAAAATAAATTATAATAGTTTAGTAAGTTTACTATTACTATATAAACAAAATTATTTAAATTAATCGGATATTTGCAGATGTAACATTTACCATCTGAATTTTTTCTTCAGTAATTATTGATTTTTAATTACCTAACATACAAACATAGCAAAATATATATTATTATTTACCTCAGTTTTTTGATATAACATAACAATAGATCTCACTGCAAGATCATTAACAAGAACAAAACTTTCTGTTGAATCACAATCATCAGATTTTGGATTATACAACGATTTTATAAGCGTGTCAATAACAGATAAATTAGCTGGAGTAAATGATACTTCTAGTCTTTCTGTTTCAATAAGTATATATGTTGATGTTTCCAGTTCTTCAGAATCATTTTCTAAACCAGAATCACTAGAGTAACCTTAAAAAATCCCAATGTCAAAAATAAGTAATAACTCAATCAAATTRCCAATAATAAATTATTAAAAATATTTATTTATAAAAATTACTAATTTTTTTCTTTAAAATCTTTTCTTGATTAATATTTCTGGACTCCTGTTCAGCTCCACTTTCATCACTTGAATCYGAATTTGTTAAGTCTTCATCACTAAATTCACTGTTCAAAATTTATTCAAATTAAATTCTACGTCTTTTAAATTATTTTTCATATCATTTCACATACTCGGATATTAAATGTGTAACAGCTTTAGCTAATTTATCCATAACTCCTGTTTCCTGATCAGAATCTGAGTCATCAGAGTACCATTTTTCAAGTGAAGTTTCTATAATATGTATTTATTTTTTATATAACAAATAATTAATAATTAATTTCATTGAGGCATAGACAAGTTAGCAAGTACTGCAACTGCTTGTGCTCTCGATGGTAGTGTATGTCACACTAGTGTCACAAGAAAGTTTATAAATTTATAATATAAACTTTAGTCTATAATGATAAATTTCTCTGAACTACAGTGATTAATAAGTGAGTATAATTGTGAAGTGCAGCAAAAATCTGTTTTTAAAACTTTAAAATTATCTTTGTGCTCCACARATTGTCTTAATATGTTCTTATATTTATTAGATAAAAATTARCATTATGATAATCACCCCTTGACTTCACTGTTTTTCTAATAAATTTCATTTCAGCTTCACTTTCATCATCTGAACTTTCACTCTCGCCTTCCACAATAGATTGGTGAGATGATTGTACCATGTCTCCAAAATCCATGTTTTTTATATTGAATTTTCCCAAGAAACCCTATTAAAAATATTTTTACCATATRATTATATATTTTTTTAATATTTCAGTATACATACTTTCAATTTTATATTCCAAGGCTCAATAAAAGGTTCCCAAACACTCAAATTACAATTAAAGTATGATGCTTTTAAATTTAGACCCCCTATAAATAAAATATATAGGTGATAAAATATAATTATATACAATCATATAGCTCAAAAACTTTGATGTACATTACCATTTAAATGAAACTGATCTGACCAATCTTTTACTTGAATTTTTAATGATGATTTTAACATGATCATAGGAATGTCCTCTAAATCTAGTTCTTCTAATTCTAGAAATATGTTTATGTCTTGTACATAGAGCTCAAGATTTTCTGATTTCACATCCATAGTATCAGAAAACTTTGATTGAAAAAATGAAAAAAATGTTCCTTTAGGTAACACTTTGTTAGGKACACGACTGGGTACTATGGATTTTGGAGTCCATAAATCATCATTTTTAAACTCCCAATAAGATGATCTATCAAAATCAGGATCTTCTTCATAATTAAAATCAATGAAATCAATTGCCTTTTAAACAAATTCATATATTAATTATTACTTWATACAGTTTTGAAAAAATTGAAAAATATTTACGTACATTGAGAATAATGTGAATAGTACTAGTTGATAAATGTACATTTAAGGGACTAGAACGAATTAAAATTTCAATGGCATCACGGTCACCTGATTTTAAAGTTCTTGAAAACTCAATGTCACATGGATGCAAAACCTATGAAGACCAAAAATTAGAAATAACACATATTAAATGCATTAATGAAATCACTATCATAGATCATAATATAGTATATACAATACACAACACACATACCATCTTTTCGGCTCTTCTTTTTTTCGACACTGCTAAAATATGAAAATTTGATAATGAACAAACAAGTCTCTCTTCATGTCCTGGATGACGACCATAATCTAAAAGAAACTCTGTTCGACATAAAAGTACTTGATCTCGAATATCTAATTCTTCTACTCCAGAAGGCAATATTGCTATTTCAGGACGACCAAAACGAACAGATACAGTTAAAGCTAAATAGAAAAAAAATTTCATTGGTTARTAGTTCTACAAATTTATATTAGTATAATTATTTATTTGTTTTACCTGACTGCTTTTCAATATTCATTGATTTTCTGTCTACTGATCGCTTTTCATATGGGTATTTTCTATGACTATCAAGATTGATCGTCGGAGACGCTAAGGTTCTATCAGTATTTTTACTTTTTATTGGTAAAGAGTCCAATACAAATTGTGTTAATTCCACAACAAATGGAATAGATAAATTCAATCTAGTTTTATCCAAATGAATATGGATTGTTCTATCACCTGAATAGGTTTTTTCAAAAGATAAATCAAATAATGGTGGAGTTGATACAGATATATGTACTTCATTAGATGAATCTGATGGACCAACAGGTTCAAAAATCCTAAAAAAGAGCTTAATTTGTAAAAGTTTTGTGAAAAGTTTTAATATCATTAAAACATTAAATCATTAAATATTACWAACATTTTTTCAGATTTGTTAAGCCTCCTGGTATCTTCTAACATACATCTTTGTACTGTAGTATTTGAAACTACTCTATTGTCTGAAAACATATCTATCTTAATATTTATTTCATCCACATCAAATCTGCACAATGAATGATTTATATCTCTGATCGGARAACTTAATATCTGAAAATGTTTTTAGTTTTAAAATAGTTAAATATTCTATTAATCTATTATTGAAATAAATCTATGTATATTATATTATATATTATATTTACTTCATCTGAATTTGCAAAAAGTGCAATTTGGACACCATCTATTGAAAATTTGAAATCAATTTCATGAATAGAGGTTTYGTGATTGAAAAACACTTGAATTTTTTTTAGATCTTGATCTTCCTTCAAGTTCCCATAAATTTGTGGCATCTTCATACAGAATATTTCTACAATAAATTCACCATTATCAAAATTGTCTGCCCAAACTTGTAAGAATATTGCAAAATCTTTCTGTCCCAGATTAATTTGAATATTGTCAATTCCCCCATTCATCCAATATAAAAGTTTGTTTGTAGCATTTCTTTTAATATTTAAACGAATTCCAAAAGATTCGACTATTGGTTCCTATAAAAAATATAAAATTAATTATTTTATTGTRTGATAATTTCTAATTTTTAATTAGCTATTGAGGTACTTGTGTAACGAGTGTTCCATCTAATGTCATAATAGCTCTAGATACACTAATTGCRTCCCAATTAGCTAAAATATTATCAACAATGTCTAGRTTGTCATAATCTTTTTTTGATTGTTCTTTAAAAAAGTTTTCTACTGTAAGATCTCCCAAACTGCATAAAATAACATTGGGAGAGGTAGAATTCTGTGGGAATAATATCACAGGAAAATGTATACATATCGACAGATGCATTTTGCTCTTCCATCCATTTCGAAAATCAGGAGTAAACAGATGAAAAACTTCACGTAGACGCCGACCAAAATCAACAAGTTCTTCAGWAATAATTGGATCTATAAAAAACTAAATCAAAAAGAATAATTAATTAAATAATAAGTTTAGAAATGTATGATATTATTAAAGTTATTATTTTKTTATTTTTTATTAAATGCATACTTGAAAATCTAGTAAAACACTGCATAAAACTGTTATGTGTACTTGTCCTACATATAACTTTATACTTCCATCTGATTTTACGTCATCTGTCTGTGCTTCAATGTTTGTTTTATAAAGTCTGGGGTTATGTCGTACATATTTGAATTCCAAAAGCTTATCTTCGTCTGTATATAGTAGCTATAAAATATTTTTATTCATGTACCAATTTGAATATTTATTTTAAATACACATTGAAATTATATTTACCTTAGGATACAAAGTAGTTTGAGATAAATCATCAATGCTCATCTGCATTACATAAAATCTAAATACCATACGATCATTTGCTTTAAACGTGCAATCACTTTCTAAGCCACCCACCTAATTTAAACATGCACATTAGTGAATATTATATAGTACTATTTAAGAACTCAGGTTAAGAAAAATTTACCTTGACAAACAAAAATTCAAATTCAGTATCACAAATTAACATTAGAAAATTTGAAATTCTAGCAGAATAACTAAACTTTGTGGCTCCTTGTGGCACAGGTGGATCATTGTTAGAAAAATAATTGCTCACAMAATTTTGAATATTTTCAGTTGATAAAGATGAAAAAATACGCCTATTACCAATTCTGAAGAAAATATTTTTTTTTAATATGGTCAAAAATATATTGTTCTGCTAAGATTAAAAAACTCACTTTTGTGTAATATAGTGCATATATTTGTAAAATGTTATGAATGAAGTTCTATGAAACACACATGATACTTGATTTAAATCTAATACAAGAGACTTTTCTACGCTGTGGAAATGACTTTTAAAATCAGGACAGTCAGCTTTTACCTAAAAAAAATTTACTCAATTATTATAGGAKTATGTACCTATGAGAATTATTATATAAATACTTTCATACTTTTCTGTAAAGTAAATTAGTAGATTCTTGTACCAAACAATTGGATGTTATTGAAAATAATTGAACGGTTTGACCATTTTTGCAAATATGTTGTAAATCAGATAAAATAATTGATCCAATTGACATTTGTACAGCTGGCCCATACTCCATAATTGCCAAATCACAACAAAAACGTTTAAATGTCAAATTCAAAAAAGAATTTTCTACTATCTCGTTTGAACAATATAAATTAATAGAAATCTAGAGGAAAAAAATTATTAATTAACAAAGATACATTTTAAATTGAAAAAAAATTACTTCTCCAATAACACATCTAAAAAGAGATGTTATAGAATTATTTGGTGACACATTGTCATCAAAACCTGGTAAATCGACTGTACGCGCCYACAGTTCAGCAAATTCCTCATCACTAATTTCTGATGACACGATGCTTCTATAAAAATAATAATACAATTTAGTTATTTATATTTAACAAAACAATTCTGGTACCTATAAAATTCAGTAAGTATACCAATATTTTTTAAATACATCAAAAAAGTAAGTCCAATTTAAGTTTTGGAGCTAGAGTGCAGTGTACTGTGCTGTGACCGTGCTGTGACCGTGTCCCATACCTAATTAATCCTTATAAAACAAATTTGTTGTTTTTAAGAAAATAAATAGGATAAGCATGCCTAAAAAAATCACCCTGTGTGTTACATATGTGATATGTCTATACACTGRCTATACACCTGTGGCCACAACTTGCATGTACTTAAAAATTCCTAACTTCATTTACTGTAAAGTAAAAATTATATCTTACCTAAGCATTGTTTAACTAGCCTAATATTTTGATAACTTACCTTTTATCTACAGCCTTAAATGCTTTTTTTACTTCGGCTCTTTCCTCAGTTGATCTGGTACTAATGCCCTTAAATTGTTGATACAATGCCAATGTGGATTTCAATTCTTGTAATTCTTCTATCTTTTGATGCAAATTTATCTTTTTGATCAGATAAATTTTAAATTGAAAAAAGCTATATTATTACAGTTATATTGCAAAAATTAATTAGATGTTTAGATCACAAACCATATCTAATGCRTAAACTTCATCATCATCGCTAAAATGTTTTTTTAATGTTGCTGAAGAAACATGGTTTATAGGTATTGGTGTATTTTCAATGAAATCTAAAATGGAATTAACCTTTTGATCAGATAAGTTGAACCTAGCACTTAGTACAGATATATTAATTTTTCTTTTTGCCAATTGTTTATATTCTGGTCTTATGCTATTCGATACAACAATTTGTGTAACAGTTTTTCCCAAAAGGTGCAATGATGAATCCATTTCATTTTTTAAACTTCTCCAATCATTTCCTAAAAACCACAATACACATCATATACACTCATATTCGTAACTTTTAATGATTTAACCATGGTATGTAGAACACCTTAAAATTATAACATTTAAGTTACCAAATTGTATACTACTTTAAAGTTTGTGGTAGTTAAATAAAAATATTAACCTGAATTACAA